TTGGAAGTCTCCTCGGCTAAGATGATTAATTTGAGACTTTTCGTATCTAAAACTGTTGTCCATGCTCGTTTACATGTTTTCTTTTATTTTCTTTTCTTTTTGTTCGGGACAAACAAAGGTATAAGTGTGGGGGAGTTGTTTGTACCCACTTTTGTTGCGTTTTTCGTTATTGTTCTGCCATTCTTTTCCCCCCTTTTAGGTCTTTTTGTTGGTTTTTAGTTTGTTGTGTAGTTTATTGCGTGTTTTTTTTTTTATTTTGATTTTTTCTGTGTTTTTTTGGTTGTTTCCCAGTTTTTTGCGCTTTTCTCGTCTTTTGTGGTGTGCAGGTCAAGTGCCTCAGTCGATTATAATTTGAAGGAGAAATATATTGGGCGAGCTTAATTTTGTAGAGGGATGCGTTGGCTTCACACAGAAAAAAATAGAATCAAATTCCGAGTCCAAACGAGCTCGAACGGACCGGAGACGCGAAGTCGTGCAAACTGGCCAGCTGCTCACGCCCCAGACCTTAACGCCGCACGCCACGCCCGCAGCACCCGTCACGGGCTAACAGAAGGTCCTGCTCGAGCACCATGCCAGCAGAGCCTGACACGCCATGGCAATCTGATGAATAATCGTGTATCTCCTCAACTCGATTGCCTCGAACGATGCTTTGTCACGACTTCCTTCTTGGCGATAGGTGTGGACTACTCGAGTTTTAATCCTTATATTTTCACGGTTTTGAGACAGCTCGGGTTTTAATCCTTGCCAAACTCAATTTGTATGATAAAACTCTCACGAATTCTAAACACACGGTTTTGCTCTTGCGAACGATTTTTTTATTAACTTCAACTTATGAAAGTCGAATGACAATGATAGATATTTATAGAGGCTAATTAGATCTAATCTTACACTAACTAGAACTCCAAACTCATGGAAATAAAATAAACTCCTAAGGCAACTAGATATTTAACATCAAAGACTTTCCAAACAACTAATTAGGCACATGTTTTTATTCCAAATCTTAACCAAACTAAAAGTCCTAATATGCTAAGGAAATCAGCCCTTGGCCTTCTAGATGGATCTCGAGTCTTCTTGCACCACACGCCTTCTAGAAACCCTAGACGGCGCGCTACTCATTGTCCTCTGAGGACTCGCACTTGTCTGCACCCCACGCACCCCGTGCGTCACTCATCGCGCCTCACGCTTCATCCGTCGTGCCACGCGCGCGCTCACCCCTCCGCGCGTCAACCTGCTCGCGAGTGAACGTCACGTAAACCTCCAACCATCCGTTGGTTCGCCGATTGTGCCCCAGCTCCCAATCGTCCTTCACGTGATCGACCCATTTGCTCGTCGTCCTCCGCGAGCCACCCAAGCCTCCCGTCGTGTACTCGTCGTCTCTTATCGCAGGAAATCCCCTTCGCGCGAACACGCCTCACGTGACCCATACCTATGCGCCTTGTTACCCGGCTAACACGTATCGCCGGCCAACGTGTTGCGCGACTCCCTCGCGCACGGTCTTTTACGCTGGCACGAGCCCCTCTTGCGCGGTTCTGTAGATCATCTCGTCCCTTCAAGCGCGTGTTGTCCTCGGGTTCGGATCTTCATCACAACTCACGCTCGTCGCGCCGCAAAGCCCTGCTACCCGTATGCCAGAACCACGCCCGTGGAGACCCTCGCGCCGCGACACTGTCCAGCCTTCACGCCACGGCTCGACGCGTGACACCCACCAGGCCCGGACAGAGACTGCTCTCCTTTCCAAGCTCCATGTCGTAAAACTCCAACACGTAGTGACAACCGGCCTGCTCGCGCCATGCTACAAAATCTTCACGCCGTGACTCTCTCCCCTATATATATGCACGGGACCGATCAGAGCAGAGATCTATCTTTTCTCCTGAACAGAAAACCCTAATCTCTGTCTCTTCTTCTACTCGTTTTCTTTCTATGCTTCATAATTTTCATCAGAGAACACAAATTTGATCTTGGATTTCTTCTGTGCCTTTCGGATTGATCTTGTATTTCCTATTCAACTCTCAATTTCATTTCAATCGTAAGTTTTTCTATTCATTTAATTTATGAATACGTTTGCTTTGATTATTGTGATTGATGTTGTTAATTTGAATATGAGTGGCTAAATCCGATTGCTAGGGATAAGGGATTAATGCTTTGGTTTCGTTTGTGATTTTCGTACTCGTTGATCGTTCCTTTTATGCGAGTTGATCTTTAAAAAGGTTTTTCAATTATCATGCTTGAATGTTGAGAATTGTTGAAGGGTGACACTTCAATTTCCAATTGATTTTCAATTGAGTTTGATTTGTTCTCGTGTGATGTTCATTCTAATTGATTGGTCGGTTAACCACCTTCAAGTCTAGTTTAATCGACTCTTAAAACCGAAAGGGGATGAGTCGATCGAAATGTGCTCATATAAAATAGGCTTGTTCGTAACTGTATTGCCTATGAGTTAAATGACACGTTAATTTGTCGTTCACATCTGTCCACTTGTTACAAAAAGTTATTGAGGATGAATCTTTTAATGAGTATGTTATTCGAATCATTTAACCGAACGATTACTTACCCGTAAATTGCATTTCGAACCAAAACAGATATCCCCGACTCCGTAGCTTCTTTATTCTTGTTTGTTCTTCGTCATTTCTTTGCTATTTCAAGTTACTTTGTATGAGTTTTCGTAGCCGATATTCAAAACCAATCTTCTGATTAAAATGTTTAGGTATTATTTATTTCTGTCTGTGATAGAATAATCGTACAATTTAATCCGACTAACCTTCCTAGAAAGATCGACCCGGGGAACGAATCCTTCGATTCGGTACTCGGTAAAAATAATATAATTTGCTACAACAACAAATAGCACTGGCGCTCCCAGGGTGATACACTCGGTCGAATGAAACCAAGGTTCAACAGCCCTGGATTTTCGTCTTGAGCTCTGGCAGCTCCTTCGGTGCCATCCTATAGGGTGCCTTCAAAACTGGACCCACTCCCAGTATCAAGTCGATGGTGAACTCGACTTGCCTATCTGGCGGTCCCTCTGGCAACTGCTCCAGAAACACATCACGTACTCACATACAATGGACACTGTAACGCCCCACTTTTATTTGCCGAAAATCAGAATAAATTTTTCAAATTTATTTTAAATCACCTGAGGCGCTACTCATTTTTAAAACAAACTTCGATACTTACCCAATTTCTCAATACTCAATCATCAATCATCAACAATATCACTAACTCCCAAAACGGATTTTCCAAAAATTCATAAATCATCTACCAAATCAAGTTCCAACAATATTCGTAAAAACATAGGAGCATCTCCTTAACCTTATTCAATTATAAAATCCGAAAATCTTAAATGCAATAATACTCCAAGTTCATAATCTTAAAAACCAGTTTCAATAATGCGGAAGCATAACGTATAATAGGACCTGTCTTATAGACCGACCACCACTCGCTCTACTCCGCCGTCGTACTTGCCTCGCTTAACTTGAAAAGTGAATTTCAGGTGGGGATGAACACAGTTGGAAAAAGTAGTACTCACCACTATGAAGTAAACATTATTCAACATATAATGACAATATTCATAACAACACAGGTATGGTTGCAGCATGTATACGAAACAATCAATTATCCCAATCTCCTATCAATCATATCAATAATAGAGTCATGTGCACACCTATACCAATAGATTACTGCTGGTAGACGCATCGAATGCCCCTCAGGCTTCTATCGAATCGTATGCCTGCTTAGGCCATACGTATCATTTGCCTGGTTAGGCCTTATGACACTACGTCTATGCCCTCCGGTCTTACACATCGAATGCCCCATAGGCTTCTATCGATGCCCAGTCAGTAGGAGTAACCCGCCGGCCAAGGCCTCACCTTGGTCTTACCCACGAGGTTGTCCAGCACAGGGACCTTTAACCTTGGTCTTACGGCTCAGTAAATAGAGACTACCCTACGGGTACGTTCTATAGCTACGGGGATACCCGTTCGACGGCCGGTACAATTCACATCGAAGGCTACATGGTTTACATGCATATATTGATCATACCATAATTAAATCAGTAATAACATTTACAGCATATCCAATTTTAGAATAACAACCCACCTGATACTGTCGAGCAATGCACGCACAAACTAGGACGAGAGCTCAACTCCTCTTAATCTACAAACTAGGGCTTTAATTACTAAGGGTTTGATTAACAAACTGATAAAACACACAAAGCAACTTATTAAGGCAGATAAGCACAAACAAGGCAAACAACTCTTTAAACTACAACAGAATTTCACGGCCTTATGAGCTGAGCATAAATTTCTGAAATATAACATATTTTCAACTTGAAAAACTCAAGAATAAAGGCTCAGCAAAGCAAAACAATAAGCATGGCATAACACACATAATATGTCTCTGTTTTCTTAACACTTAAGCCATTCACATGAGGCCTTAAAACTGAACATAAGGTTATGCAATTACTCCCCTGCCAACATATTAAAGTAACCAAAAACTGCAAACAATTTAACCACTTACACGGCTAAAGAAAAATAACACCAAAATAAAAGGCATCAACAACACAACCTGTTCCTCATGCTTGGTCAACAAAAATTAAGGGCCATAATAACTGAGATTAAAGTTCTATAATTTTTGCTCAATCCAGCATATCCAATAATTCAATAGAGCTTAGTTAACATGGAAACACATGGTTAAAAAATTCTTCAACCTAAAAGCATGCACGCATATATAAATGAACTTTCTTTTTCTCAATCAGATACATACCACGGGCTTTATAACTGATATTAAAGGAACTAAAGATTCTTTATTTCAAACTGAAAATAATCTCATAATGTTCAGCATAAGAATCACGTATCAACTCGACTAACGAGCATATGAAGCAAGTCTCATTTCTTCTTCTTTTTCCACAAACTCTTACCCAACAATTTATACCAAATTTAGATATACACTGTTGACATTAGAATCGAATACCATAGATTAGAGACATTTTAAGCGGATTGGCGAAAATGTTAAGTTTAATAACCGAGAAACCGAACTACAATGAAGGTCTCCGGCATCACGTCGGTATCAAAATGGCATCTCGGGATCATCGACTCGGTTTCCGAAACACAAATATCAGACCCCAAGATCGTCCCAGCATTGCACTAATACCTCGGGACCGTCACCTCGGTTCGGGAAGGGTTTATTAAATGGTCAAGGAAGGTTAATGCCCAGTAGAACGACCGATGTCGCAAAAACCCGACTTGATCGCGACAGAAGTGACGCCTGTCACTCAGTTAAAGAGGTGCCCATGCCTTCATCATTGCCTAAAAAAGCTTGCCGGCATTATAGCCGCCCCTAAACCGTCATATCTACATTAAATGAGGCTGAATTCTCTTAGAAGGTGTGCCAGATATAACTATAAATAGCAGCATTAAAGTCGATACGAGGGGGGATTTCCAACACATTAATCCAAGCATTTATTACCTCGGTCTCCTTGTTACCGACCTCCTGTACTATAATACCGACTTACCATATTCTGTAACCGACCTCAGCAAATTCAATAAAACGTCTATTTTCTACAACAGCAAGGAAGATTCCACAATAAGCCGGATTACAGAATTATTGACCGAGGGCCAATTCGAGATGTTTAAGAAAACTGTGTTCGGCAAATTCCTGGACATACCTCACTGTAAATTCTAGATTCAGCTAGTCAATTTGATTTTGTTACGTGAGGTACATCAACGTAAGTCTGACGAGGTGTGGGTGAATTTTGGTGGGAAGATGCTCCGTTTCGGCATAGAAGAGTTTGCACTGATATCAGGAATGCCATGCATTGTATCCAGCGAGAAATTAACCTCTCCACAGTGACTGGCGGTCTCTACGACACATACTTCTCCAGGTTTCGATTGAGTAGGCAAGAGATACGAAGTCAATTTATCTATAAGGTCTGGAAGAATGATGAAGACGCCATGAAGTTTGCAAAGCTACACTTGTTAGCAAATTTCTTACTTGGGACCCAAGACACACTATTGCTTGACAGACGCTATCTCGACATAATTGATAGCGATGAGTGTGAGGAGTATGCATGGGGGAAAGAGGTGTTTGAATTCACTGTTCACTATTTGAAGAAGACGTTGCCCAATTGGCAGAAGATGCATACGAGAGGAGACAAAGAAAAGAGTGAATATCTATTCAGATGCTATGGATTTATCCTAGCATTACAAATCTGGTTTTATGAGATCTGCGACACAGCTAATGGTCTCATTTGCACACGCAGTGTCGGTGAAGATGTGCCTCGTATGTTGAGGTGGGAGGTTAAGGGAACCCACAACAGATCGAAACTTCAGAGACATTTCATGAACTTGCCACATGACAAGGTATGTTTACAATCTCCATTACTACCTTTCATTATTTTATTACAATAATATACGGTACCGACGTTTTCTGATGCCTTTATAATCATTAACGTTTTCAGTTCAACAACTTGAGTCCGACAACTATTGAGAAATCCAGTCTTAATTTGAATGGGTTCTTCAAGAAAAGAAACGAATTTCTGGTAGATGACGATTCATCACCGCATGCTCCAACGCACACCCAATCAGAGCTCTTGAACAGATTGGATGAGTTGGGAAGAAAGCAGACATAAATAGCCAATGATCTTCAAGCGCTGAAGAAGCTGTTTCAAGATTTCTCTGTCACTGTTTTGAAGCGATTGGATCAGTTGGTGCGTTTGTCTATATAAATATAATTTACAATGGTAATGAAAAGTTTTATTTTTTGCATATTATTCATATATTTATTTTTTTTCCCCGAATCATTTTCTAAATAGGGTGGAAATCTTGTTGCACCATCACATGATCAGTTTGTATCCGACGGTCCAAACAATGACAAGGGCGGTGCCAATGCAGGTCATCCTCAGTCAAAGGTTAGTTTTGTTATGTGTAATTCAAAATTAGTTTTGTTCAACCTGATAAATATCATTTTTTTTCTTACCGAATATTGTCCTTGTAAAAATTTCAGGAAGTCGATGACCCAGTTGGACGAGATACCGACGTGGGAAATGATCCAAACCTAGTATGTTAAACACAAATTTTAATTATGCTAATTTGTCTAAATTAACATCTACTATTTATATAATGTTTATATACAGTATATGTATAGTATAACTGAATATGTACTTTTATAGTTATTTATTATTTTTGTTTATATAATGTATATATATATATACTCTATATAGATAGTATACCTGAATATTTGTACTAATAGACTGATAAGCATTCAACCAGAATGCTATGAAGGGCAAGACTGATGAAGCAATCAACCAGAATGCTATGAACGACACATCCCACGACGTTGCTATGAACCAATGTGATGGTGATGATGACACGTTCTGTCCCATGAACACTTAATTTTTTGCCGAAATTGATAAGGCTACTGAAGGAATAACAAAAAGTCGATCTACTGGCAAGGGAAAGGTTTAAAAATTAAAAATTATGTTTTTTTTTTTTTTTTTTTTTTCTTA